GGTAAAATTTTAAAATCCGTACAGCCAACACATAGTTTTGACATATTGTGTACTTTACAGCTATTTCCACGTGTCATTTGATGCATCTAGTTTCTGTATACTGTCCTACTAATAACATTCTCTCAAACCACATGCAAACTGTGAAGTGCTCTTACATGTGCAGAATGCATGGTTCTGACGCAAGACCAAAGGTATGGTTTTCTTATAATGTGTAATTCTTGAGTGCCTCGTCACAGCTAAGCAGTTCTAAATAATTAGCCTTCAAAACCAGATCTCTTTAGCCCCTCTCAGAAAATGGTTTTCAATATCAGTTTCCCTCGATCAAGCTTTTGACAGCTCAATGTACTATTACCTAGCAGCATTTGCCAGGCTGTTCCTGGGAACACAGACCCCTTGAGGATAGCTTTATAAATGCAGTCATGCTCAGGATTAAAGGAAGATTCCATCTGTTTACTAATGACAACATCAGATTATGTTTTGCTCACTGTCATTGCAATCCCGGTGTCAGAAACAATACTGTGTCCCCAATTTTTGCTTAATATGACACATAACTGTTAAAACCTGCAAGACACTTGGTGATTACAAAAAAAATAGCTTTAAGAATTAGCAGCAAGCAGAGGAAATTGTCACAGTGGCTGGGCTATTTCTGCTGTAAAAATTTCCATTTCCATTTGTAATTAAAGTAAAAATACTACATACTGTCACACAGCTAGACAGACAATATATTACATTTAAACCAAGCACAATATGGCATTCAACATGAGATGCTTGTTCTTGATAGCCTGTTGTGTAGAACCCTAGGGACTCAAATTGTGCCACTACTCAAGCTGCTGTACTACAACTCCTATAATTCTTTGCCAGCTAGAAGTGTTTGGTAATTGTAGTCCAAGAAAAACTGTCAGGACACAGCTGGATAGCCAATGCATTCATTTTTATGAAAACAATTTTTGATACAATAGTATGTTACATTATAATTAAATTAGCATTCTATCAAATGGATATGACTTTCCATTCCATAAAAGAACATACTGTATTATAGCAGTAACAAAAATGTGATTTTAAGCCACATCCAGATAAAGAGCTTCCTTAGCACGCCCGTTAACAAACAAGCTTTCAACTAAGGCAAAGAAACGTTTTTTTTACAGTAAGAGCAATAAGGGTATGGAATTCTCTGCCTGAAGAGGTTGTTTTGTCAGAGTCCATACAGATGTTTAAACTGCTATTGAATAAATACTTGCAAAAACATAACATACAGGGATATAATTTCTAATTAGAGGGGTAATAGCTGCTTGATCCAAGGAGACATCTGACTGCTATTTTGGGGTCAAGAAGGATTTTTTTCCCCTAGTTTGTTGCAAAATTGGAAGCGCTTCAGACTAGGTTTTTGCTTTCTTTTGGATCAACAGCAAAAACATACGTGAGCAAGGCTGAACTTGAAGGACGCAAGTCTCTTTTAAGCAATGTAACTAAGTAAAGCTTTTACGGCAGCACCGACACCTTTTGAAAAAGCGTGTGTCCAATGCCCTATCCCAAAAGGTCAAATTTCCACCATCCACTCCCTTCTCACTCACACCAAACAGGAGGACTATTTGTCATATGTCGACTTGGGAGAGGGATTTGGGTCCTATAGCGGACCCGCGGGACTGGGTGGCCATCTGTGGGGCTACTGCTACGATCTCCGTTTGCTTAAATCGTAAGACATAGGCGTACACAACACTATTGAGGTGGCATCTCAGCCCATTTCAGCTCACAACACTATTGAGGTGGTGCCGACACCCCACTTCTACCCGCTCACCACCTTGCCTGACCCCCCAGCCCCACCACCCCTTTCTGGGATTTTTGGTTTCTGTGACTCTTATACTTTTTTTTTTTTTCCTTTTCCTCTTCTCTTTCCTCTTCATGCTATTGATTACTCATCCCTCTGCTTCTTTCTACTTGGCCTTCTGTTCTCCCAATCCTTTGTTTCTCAGGTTCGAGGGGCAGATCCCCTTTGCACTGATTTATGCGACCATTATTGTGGAGGGGATCCTCTCACCAAAGGTATAATTTTGGTAGGGTGACGGCCTAAAGATAGGATCCCCACCACTATGGGCTTGCATTTCTTCTTTTTTTCCTTTTCTGTTTATCATTAAGAGATGGTAATACTTTTTTTTTTAATCGCCAGTAGTAGCCACCACATCTCCCACATTTTATGTACCTTTTTTGTCAATATATCAATGAGGCTATTGTATCCAGTATTAGGTGTACTATACCTTCCAGTCTCCTGATCCGTTTTTAACTTGGATATATATTGACGTTCATATTGCATACACCTATGCACTCTCCATTAAACCTAAGTGACTTGCCTCTCTTGATGCACGGTTATTATAATTTTTGTATTGTGTACCTCCCTTTCTTTATTCTGTTTCCCTTATTTTGAAATATCAAAACTTTTTTAAAAATGTGATTTTAATATTTTCAGATATCTGAAATAATTTTCTGGTGTTTCATGCTACAACAACTAATGTGGAAGATTCTGTAAACTTTAAGGACTAATGACCACA